AATAAATATATAAATAAATATGCAAAGTAAAAAAAAAAACACAAAATTAAATATTAAATTATTTATACTTTTATTTCCTTATGTATATATTTTTTTTCTCCACATTTTATTTCTTTTTTCTTTTATTTATTTAGACATTTATTTATTTCCACTTTTATTTATTTCCACATTTATGTATTTAAGTATTTATTTCTATATGCATTTCCACATTTATTTATTTATACAACTTGCCTACTCTGGCTCGATTACTATGCCTGTGGAAAAACACGCCCTCCTCATTACCCTACGGACAAAGAAATGTAGAAATAAATAAATAAATGTAGAAATGAAAATAAATGTGGAAATAAATAAACATATAGTATACCGTTTTTGGAAGTGAAAAAGTATGTATAATGTACAGTGAATAACCGTAAAACTGACATTCCCAGAATTCCCTGCGTTACATTTAATATTTGCAAACAATAAACTGCTAACAATAAACGTAAACATAACAATAACTTGCAAACAATAAACTGCATCCAAATATCACAGTTTTCTCTAAATAAGAAAAAATAAATGTGCGAATTGTGGGAGTTTCTTTAAAAACACATGGTTTACATAAAATCTTTTGTATTTATAATTTTAAATCAAACAAATAACCCTGTTTAGCAAAGGGACATCATACCTTTCAGAAAATATAATTTGCATCTTAATATTGCAATGAAAACGTATTTAACAGTAATATGTCCATGACAGGGAGGACATATCTTATGGTTTATGCTTCGAATAATGGCCCATAATTATCTTTAAAAAATGTGTGGGAGCTCAGCTAATGTTTCTATAGTACTTAAGTGTCTATTACTTATGACATGACAAAGCGAATGGGAAATGAAGACCAAAATGTGTGAGTATTGTGAGGGTTGAAAGGCGCACTACGGTGATATTGACCCTATTGCATTATTTCAGTTTCATGTGTGTTACCATGATAGTGTTTAGTGTTTGTGTGAATGACACTGTGCACCTTCTATATATGTTAATATTTAAATGCTGCTTGTGATGTGTTTTGGTTCATCATGTGATCTCATCACCTGCATTTGGTGGTTATCAGTGTATTACAAAGGTACAAAACAGATTTAAATAGTTCAATAGGTTGGTATATTAACATTATATCAGTTAATGAAATTATGGTATTTAAATGTAAATTTAAGTTAAAACAGTAAAACCTAAAATGGTGCTACCGTATTTTTTACGGTAAAATTCTGGCAACCACAGCTGCCATTTTTTTTACTGTAAATTTTACTGAATTTATTTATTTTTTTTAACAGTGTAGCTGAAGTTATGATAATGACACTAACAGTAGGTGTTTCAAGGTGATGTCGGGGTATCCGCTGGCCCGCGCGCCCGAGGGCGTTCTGCAAAGTGCCAGGATGTAGGCCCTCAGTGTGGCGACACGCTCCATGCGAAACTTAGTGTCTATGAGGTCCAGATGTGTCCCGATGACGATGACAGCAGAGTTAGGAGCACGAGCCTGGAGCACAAACACATTCACACAATCATTACACAGGTCGTTCTATAAAACAAGAGCCATGTGTGTCCATCAAAACAGTACTTAATGAGAAGCTTGAGCCAGTTTTTTTGTTTTGTTTATAAAAATAGCATTTTGTGTTTGTATATATAGTGTCTCTATAGATTGTTTTTCCCCTTTAGTTAAGGATATTTATTTTTTGCCTATGCCTGCATTTCCAACTAGCCTTTGCTGTGTAAACAAAAACTGTATGCATATTTTAAATATGTTTGAAAATATATGAACAGCATTTTGTCTTTGTCTTTTTATCTTTATACATGCTATATTTAGATTTTAGTTGACAAAGCATTAAAAAAGCTTGTAAATGGTAATGAACTACTCTGTAAATTTAAATAAATAAATAAATAAATAGAGATTTTGTTATTGCAAACTATATGCTATTAATTTAATTTGCAATGGCATTTGTTTAGTGTGCAACGGCAAATGCTTTCATAAATAATACATAAATAAACTATAATGACTTAGTTTGCAATGGCAAGCTTGTCTTCATTATTATTAAACTATTCAATAAATAAACAAATAAATAAATGGCAAAATATCATTTATTATCATTATTCAAAAAACTCAATGGCAAACGCTAATTATCATTCAACTATTTTAGAAAGAAAGAAAGAAAGTTTATTGATTTACTTTGCAATGACAATGCTGTTCATTAATATTAAACTATTCCATAAATAACAGATACAGTAAGTACTAAATCAGTATATCAAATCAATCAATAAATAAAAGTTACTGCTTTGCAATGCCAAATTATTCAACTATTATTGAACTATTCCATAAATAATAGATCAATAATATATAAATGCTATTTAGCATAATTAACCATATTTATCTACATCAAATTTGGAAAACACGTATGTTTCCTAGAATGACCCATTCCCTTTAAGCCAATTAAACATCTTTTTTTTTATTTTATTGAAATCTATACTAAATACGTAAAATCAGCACCCATAACCAGTATGGAGACCCCATGACTAGAGGAGTTGCTCAGAAGCTCTCAGATTTTCATAACGTCTATGTTACATATTGTTTCCGGACCTCGATGTTGAGCAGCCAGGACTGCAGGTTGGCCACTGCTTCCTCTCCCAAAGCCAGATTCCAGATCACCATATACAGAGCCTTATCTGTGAAGAAACACTGGTTCACCGTCGACATGCTGGCTGGGCCGCCAATGTCCCACACGTTAAAGGACACTGAATCAAGCTGCATAAACAGGAGAAACAAAGGCATTAACAACATCACTTCATAACTTTCATCAAGGCATTTTCAGACAAATTATATAGTTGCGGAGGTGAAACTCTGGTTTATTTTGTCCTGTTATGAAGCTATGGAAGCTTGTGGAAAGCTATGGAAGCTTAAAATAATAAAAAAGGTAATTATGACTTTTTTTCCCTCTGAATTGCGAGATATAAATTGCAGAACTGTGAGATATAAACAGAATTGCGAAATACAAACTTGGAATTGCAAGATTTCAATGCAGAATTGTGAGATAAAAAGTTACAATCTACCTTTTTCATTTTTCATTTTGTGGCGGGAAAAAAATTTTGGTGAAAAAAGTCAGAATTGCAAGATACAGACTTAATTATGAGATGTAAACTCGGAATTGCAAGAAAGCAAGTCAGAGAGTTTTTATCTCACAATTCTGCATTTATACCTCACAATTTGGAGTTTTTTCTTGATATGAAGTCAGAATTGTGAGGTAAAAATGCAGAATTGAGCGATATTACCAGCAGAATTGTCAGATATAAAAATTCACAATTTAATTTATTTTGTGGCGGAAGCAAAATAACAACTGTGAGATGCAAACTCAGATTGTGAAATATAAACTCGAAATTGTCAAAGTCAGTCAGAAGTAGGAGTTCATTTTTATCTCACAATTATGACTTTTTTATTTTTAGAATTGTGAGAAAAAAAGTCATAATTGTGAGATAAAAATGTGCAATTACCTTTTTTTATTCCGTGACAAAAACGAGTTTCCATAAGAAGCAACTTGAAGTCAATATGAAATAAAAAAAACTGACCCTATTTACTTTTCTTTCTACTAATTCTAACTTTCATTTTAAAGAAATGCAGATTTGATAAAGCACAAAAAAAGGCTCTCGCTGTGAGTCAGCAGAGGAGTAAGTGTTCACAGCTGCTTGAGGTGGAGTCAGATCTCTGGGGCTTTATAACACCAGCTTGTGTATACATTTGCTTCTGTCCATGACATATGTGTAAGAGGTCAGTCTGTGTGTGTGTGTTTATGAGAACATGTCTGTATGACATCAGGTGAATGTGTGTGACACTCTCTTGGGTTTTATATGACTCAGGACTCATGATGAGAATGGAAACACTGTTAACTCATGCTAAGAAACCATGTAAGGCCACAAACAGAGTTAGAGGTCAAAGGTCAACTGGAAATACCAGAGCTGCTACTCATTCATAAACCCTGAGGTCAAAATGTTGGCACTTTCATGGTTTCGCTTTTTTTCCAGACTTGCTATGAAGGTTTTTTCTGCCTTATTTTTGTCTCGTCATGTTTACAGGGTTAAAGAAATCAGAGCTGTTTGTTTCCTGTGAGCAAAGCATTGTGGGACAAACTAGGGCTGCACGATAAATCGCATGCGATATTTAACGCGCATCCTATCAGTAAAGCCGGTTCTGTAATCAGCGGTAAATCTCCATCACCTGCGGGCTTTCACATTGAGCAGCATTAACTACACAGAGCCGTTGTTCACTGACGAGCTGCGCAAAACCACGTTCATATTCGTGCGTTTTTTTGCGCAGCTCGTCAGTGAACAACGGCTCTGTGTAGTTAATGCTGCTCAATGTGAAAGCACGCAGGTGATGGAGATTTACCGCTGATTACAGAACCGGCTTTCTGACAAGATGCGCGTTAAATATCGCATGCGATTTATCGTGCAGCCCTAGGACAAACACATGTGAAGGAACGCCCTGACAACAATCAAATAGACTGGGAATTCAGTAAAAGCTCAAATGATGAAGTCACACCCTTGAATCAACATGAGATGACTTCATTTGTCCACAGTGTTTCAGTTTCTTTCCTCACCAATAAGCAGAAATATACCGACTATTATGGCAACAAAGTTATGAACATACTAATCATTGAATTGATAAGTAATTGGCTAATAATTCAATCCTGAATATTTATGTACAGATATAGATAGATATAGATTTATTGCTAAATGTATGATTTATCTTTGTTATATTTGAAATATGTATCTACATTTCCTTTTTTTCATTTTTAAATTGTATTTATATTTTTAAAAATATATGTACAAACAATATATTCATGATTTACATTTACATACATGCATTTCTAATTTTACATTCAACTTTTATATGCATTTTGCTAAATGCATACATATTATATATATATATTTTTTTAAATATTTAAATAGTTAAATCTGAATATTCATATCTAAACAGCTAAATCTGGATATATCTGGTACAGTATATTCATGTATTTTTTATACTTCACACTAATTAAATGCTTGGTTGCATTGCAATTAAATGCAGCTTCTAATAACTTTTATTGTACCTTCTGATCACTTTCCAGAACAAATATCTAAACATTCAGAAATCAAGATACATTTGCTTAAAAAGCCTTGTTGTCTGAGAAATTTATTCAAAATGAAGGCAGATGTTATAAGCATGAATTCACATAATTATGATAAATTTTTCAGAAAACAAGACTTCGCATTTTCATTTTGCATCTCAAGTAAATGTCTCTTGATTTAAGAATGTTCAGATATCCTTAGATAAGCAAGACTTGTCAGGCTATAAATTGTGGAAGGACCCACAGAAACCCTGATATGAGTGTGTGTGTTTGTGTGTGTGTGTGTGTGTGTGAGTGTGTGTGAGTGTGTGTGTGAGTGTGTTTGTGTGTGTGTGTGTGTGTGTGCGTGTTTGTTTGTGTGTGTACTTGTTTATGCTACATTGTGGGGCTCAAATGTCTCCACAAGGATAGTAAAACCTGAGATTTTTGACATTGTGGGGACCGGCCTGCGGTCCCAACGAGGGAAAAAAATGATTAAAAATAGTAAATGATGTTTATCTGAAAGTGTAACAATGGAAACAGGTTTTCTGTAAGGGGTAGGTTTAGGGTTACGGGATAGAAAATATTGTAATAGAAATCTATGGAAATTCCCCACAATTCACAGAAACAAACGTGTGTGTCTGTTTGTGCGTGTGTGTGTGTGTGTACCTGGTATTCCCTACATTATGGGGACAAAATGTCCCCAAAAGGATAGTAATAAAGGTATTTTTTTACCTTGCGAGGAGATTGTCTTTGGTGCCCATGAGGAAAACAGTTTATAATTCATACAGAATAATCTACAGAAAATACAGTTTGTACAGCAGAAAAACCATTACGCCTATGGAGTGAACCCCATAAAACATGGAAACCAGTGTGTGTGTGTGCGCGTGTCTGTGTGTGTGTGTCTGTGTCTGTCTGTCTGTCTGTCTGTCTGTCTGTCTGTGTGTGTGTCTGTGTGTGTGTGTGTGTGTATGTGGACTGAGGGCTCTTACAGCAGATTTCACTCCTCCGGGTCGCTCCAGATCCCAGCTGGACGTGTGGATGCTGCGGTCGGTGCTGATGAAGGATGAGGGTTTGCCGGTCTGCAGCCCCTCCAGCAGAGCGCTCTTCCCCTGCCGCGGAGGACCCACCACCATCAGCTTCAGCAGTCTGCAGGGCTCTGCTCCTCGCAGCTCCGCTCGCAGATACGCCAGAACCGCAGCCGGACCTGCACACGTACAACTCTGCAGTTTATTGTTTGCAAATGTGAAATGTAACGCAGGGAATTCTGGGAATGTCAATTTACGGTTATTCACTGTAAATTATACATTCTTTTTTACTTCCAAAAACGGTATACTACCGTAAAGTCACTGCGTCCCGATATGCCTGCTTACAAATGTACAAACTCGCAGCATTTGAAAAACAGTAGCCCCCGGATGACCTACTACTTCCAGCGAGAATCTGAGCTTTCATTCATACTACCCACATTCATACTATGTGTGACCCTGGACCACAAAACCACAAAGTTGTCCAAATGAAGATCTTAGCAATACATATTACTAATCAAAACTGAAGTTTTGATATATTTACGGTAGGACATTTACAAAATATCTTCATGGAACATGATCTTTACTTAATATCCTAATGATTTTTGGCATAAAAGAAAAATCAATCATTTTGACCCATTCAATGTATTGTTGGCTATTGCTACAATATACCCCCAGCGACTTAAGACTGGTTTTGTGCTCCAGGGTCATATAAGACTTTTTAACGGTTTAAATTTCACAATTTAAACCGTTTAATTCTTAAAAGACTCAGCTTATTTCCTTCTTTTTTTGGTTACACATTACAATAATGTTCCATTTGTTAACATTAGTTACTACACTAGTTAACACAATCTAACAATAAAAAAATGCTCCTAAAGCATTTAGTCATCTTAACGTTAATTAATGACATTACATTGTTAAAAATCAAAAGTTGCATTTGTTAATATTATTTAATGGACCTGAGCTAACATGAGAACTAAAAAGAACAGTTGTATTATTTTTATGTTAATAATAATAATAATAATAATAATAATAATAATAATAAAAATACTCTCCTTTATTTGGATTTAAGCTCCATTTTGATTCATTATTTAAAAATTTGCTTACTGTTAACTTTAATTTGCTGAGCACATTTAAATGTATTACTGTTTAACATATTAAAGTCTGATAACAGCAATAGAAGAGTTGTTAATATTACTCGTTTTCTCCACGTATTTTATCTTTATATTACACTTTATATTTAGCATTAAAACAAAGTTTAAGGATTCTAATGTTAGTTAATGCATTAACTTGTATTAACTTGCATTAACTGTAAAGCATGATCTCAGTAAAGCAAGTTTTCCTTTATTTGACTTAAAACTTCATTTTTAATTATTTCTTAATTTCTTTTTTTAATTTGTTGATTGTCACTTTGTTAAGTTACTCAGCACTTTGTTATTTGTATTTTATACTTTAAAATATTAAAGTGTCTGTTAGTAGATGCTTTCTTCCAAGTGATAACGGCAATAGAAGATTTGTTACCGTTACTTTTTTCTTCACTTTCACTTTGTTACTTGTTATTTTAAAATATATTCACAAATCATGCATAAAGATTCAACATAAAGAGTCTTAAGCCTTATAAAGTAGATAAAATTAAATAAAAAATGGACTATTTTATGCAATATTTAATCATTTCTATGGTGTTGCATCATGAACTTTGCAGCATGCTAATCTATTGAAATCAGTTTTGAGCCTCCACCATCATATGTAAAGCACTTCCACACGAGTGACATGAGCTCCAGGCATCTTCAGATGAACCCACAGTGCTCATGTGTTTGTTAGGGACGCGCTACTTCCTCTCAAATCTCTTGAGCCTGTTGTTATGACAGTAAAACGCACTAAATAGTGCAACAAACGCATCAGACGAATAGACAGCTGGCTGAACGACTCACAGCTGGAAACACCAAGGAAATATTCATCAGACAAATACTAGATTAAACAGCCGGAATATCATTTTCTCTAATGCAAAAAAATAAATAAAATAAATAAATAAAATAATGTCATGCTCAACATGACAACATTTCTGTTTGTTTAATACAGAACATCCTTCTTACCCTAATTAGCTTCAGAGACACATTTATGCATTTGGTCCACGCTTTTTATCAGAAGCACATTGCATTCGACATGTACATTTTATCATGCATTATGATCTCATAACATTGATCTACTACAGCAAAATACAACTCAAAATGCACAAGATGGATATCAAGCATTATTCATTCATTCATTCAAGACTTTTTTAATATTTTGATTTAGCTTCTATTTTTATATTTCAAGTTTTAATTTAAATTTTGTTTACAAAAATTTTTTAAACAAATTTTATGTGTTTTTGTCTTTTTTAATATTATAAATCATGTTTTCATAGCATCAATATATTGTAGATATTATTATAGATTTTATTAGTATTTTGAATTAGCCTTCATTTTTATATTTTCAGTTTTCATTTTAATTTACTGTTGTTATGTGTTCGTCATTTTTTTTTGTGTAATATTACTACTTAGGTTTTTATTTTGAATTTTCATTTAAATTTTGTTTACACAATTTTTGTTATGCATTTTTGTCTTTTTTAATATTATAAATCATTATTTCCTTATGTTTTCATTTTTTATATATATATATATATATATATAT